GATGAAATATCTGAGAATAAATATAACCAGAGAGACAAAGGACTTATACAAAGAAAACTACAAAACACTACTACAAGAAACCAAAAAAGACGTACAAAAATGGAAGAATGTACCATGCTCCTGGATTAGAAGACTTAATATTGTGAAAATATAAATACTGCCCAAAACAATTTATACATATAATGCAATCCCAATCCAGATTCTAACAACATTCTTCAAAGAGATGGAAAAAACTATTACAACTTTATATGGAAAGGAAAAAGACCTTCTTAAGCACTGCTTAAGAAGAAGAATAAGGTTGGAAACCTCTCACTCCCTGATTTCAAAATTTATTACACAGCTACAGTGGTCAAGATTGACAATCTGTCTCTCATACTTAGGACGTATTGTCAGAAGGGACCAGTCACTGGAGAAGAATATCATGTTTGGTAAAGTGGAGGGTCAGAGAAAAAGAGGAAGACCCCCAATGAGATGGATTGGCCAAGTGGTAGCATTGATGGACTCAAGCATGGCAACAGTAGTGAGGATGGGGCAGTGTTTCGTTGTGCAGTGCATAAGGTCACTATGAGTCAGTACTGACTCAATGGCACCTAACAACAACAACAAACAGTGGTTAAAACAGCTTGATGCTGGTACAATGAAAGATCAATGCAACAGAATTGAGAATCTAGAAATTAACCCAGCCACATACAGCCAAATGATTTTTGACAAAGTGCCTAAATGTATCGCATGGGGAGGTGATAGTCTCTTCAACAGATGGTGCTGGCAGAACTGGAAAGCGATATGCAAAAGATTGAAATAAGACCTTTACCTCACACCTTATACAAAAACCAACTCAGCATGGATTAAAGACCTAAATGTGAATCCCAGAATTATGAAGGTCATCAGTGAAAACATAGGGACAAATGTGAGGGCACTAATTCTGGAAATATTCAGACTACCAAACGTTTTGAAAACTACACAAACAAAAGTGGACAAAATAGATGATTGGGACATACTAAAAATTAAAAACTAATGTGCATCAAAAGACTTCACCAAAAGAGTAAAAAGGGAGCCCACAGAATGGGAAAAAAATCTTTTGACACATCAGACAAGGGAATCATTTCTAAAATATATAGGAAAACTTTAACACCTCTACAAGAAAAAGACAAAAAACCCAATTTAAAAATAGGCACAGGGCATGAATAGACACTTCACCAAAGAGGAGATCCAGGCAGCAAACAAACATGAAGAAATGTTCACGATCACTGCCCATTGTTGTTGTTGTTGTTATGATGTGCCGTGGAGTTGGTTCCGACTCATAGCAACCCTGTACAAGGTTTCTGACTGGCCATTAGAGAGATGCAAATAAAACAACAATGAGATATCATCTCACACCAGCAATAACAGCAAAGATCAAAAAAGTAGAGGACAATAAATGCTGAATGTGGAGAGACTGGGATGCTCCTGCATTGCTGGTGGGACTGCAAAATGGTCCAACCTTTCTGGAAAGCAATGTGGCACTTCCTCAGAAGGTTGGAAATAGAAATACCTTATGATCCAGCAATTCCTCTACTTGGTATTTACCCACAAGAAATATAAGCCATAATATGAGTAGACATATGCACACCAATGTTCATAGCAGCACTATTTACAATAGCAAAAAGATGGAGACAGCCTAAGTGCCCATCAACAGAAGAATGGATAAACAAACTGTGGTACATACACACAATGGAATATTATGCTACCTTGAAGAACAACAAAGAAGCTGTAAGCTATCACAAAACATGGATGAGCCTTGAGGACATTATGTTGAGTGAAATTAGTCAGTCACAAAAGGAGAAATACTGCATAGGACCAGTACTGTAAAAGACTAAGAAAAAGAACCCATACCAATGGGGGGAAGGTGATTCTTTGCTGGTTACCAGGATGTGAGGGGTGGGGTGAAGGGATGGAGGGGGGAAGGTGAAGCGTAGGGTTGAGAATAGACACAGTATAGTTTGGGTGCTGGGGAGGGGAATGTAACAACAAGGTGATGGGAAAACAATTAGGCAGGTTTGCATGGGCTATGTGGGACAGAGGTAAATAATGATGTATGCACAACTTTGGAAAAAACAGGGCTCTGGGATACAG